CCGAACTAAAAGATACTGGATGACAATTGGTGGCCACCAGGGTTTGGCGATTCCGTCCCCTAATCCCTAGTCGCTCTTTAAAAAGGTGAGTATATAAAGTATTTTCTCCCTCCTTCCAGCATGCCTTTATGATGTAACGGTAGCACACTTGGAGCGTCTTTATGATGTAACGGTAGCACACTTGGTACAGGTTCGAGTCCCGGGAAAGGCATTGATCATTTATCATGTCTCCTGCTTCAAAATAACCTAACGACTCTACACAGTAATCTTTGCTTCATTTAAAACCTTTTTGTAACTGGGCGACCGAAGATTGCCATAGTAAAGGCATGGTAGTGATTTTTGTGGGTACGGTATATATTATTTCATCTTCCATGAAATTCAATTAATGTAAAGATAAAATTAAATTAATTAATTTAACATAATAAAATAAAATTAATTACGATGAATTCAGGAAATTAAATTAATTCTTTTAAATTATTTCTGTTAATAATAATTCTATATAGGCTTTTAGAGATTTGAATTTTAATCATATGTGGCCAAATATATTATGATAATTAAAAGAATCAGTTTTAACTTTTCCTTTCATTTCATTAAAACTATCTAACCTAAAATGTTTTTGCTATATATTTCTTATGATTATTATCTGATGAAACCATAAAGAAATTTAAGTTATTCTCCTTTTCATTAATTGGAACGTTTGAGAATTTAACCTCTATAAACTTAAGTATTGCATTTTAACAATGAGAATACTTCCTTTTAATTCGTCACTCATGACAAAAATATTGATATTAAAGCGCAATTTTCATTCTGCTCACTTCTTTAGGAGGGGAAAAATGTTATCGAATAAATCATCTCGTCGGAAGATACCGGTTATCAATACCCAAAGCTTATCGATCGTCATGGTACTATTTTCGACTAAACGCTTACCATTAATCTTCGAAAGAATAAGAGCATATTATCATTAATCTTTTTGACAATGGACAGCGCACGGAATTCGTACCTTTTAGAACCCACTCTTCCATCTTCTCATAGTGGGTGTTTCGATTCTACTTTAGAAATCCTTCGTCTTTAAGCTTTATCATGTTAGTCAGGCTTGCATTAAGTATTTCTGAAGGTCGATGAACTACATCAATCTAGTATATTAATAAACTGAGAAACTTAATCTTTGCAACCTTCGCTTAAGGTGATGTAAAAAGATTGAGAGTATCTACACAATATTTTTTTCACCTCGCCGACTTGCAAGTAAATATTATATAACAGACGTTACATATTGCAATGAATCAGTTGCATTCTATTATTAGAGATTGCTGTTTCGAGGTAATATTTCCTGCAGGAATGTCAAAGTCAGCATCTGAAGAGCACCGGAGAGTCATCACTGTAAAATAGTGCGGGCATTAAGGAAAAAAGGTCTTTCTCATACTATATATAATATATATATATTTAAAAGTGAGGGTACTCTAATGAAATAACCTAAGCTGTAAGAGCCCCGACAGAACTTCCCAAGGCTAAATAAATAACCCTTGCCAAAACAGCCCCGACAAAACGACCTTAAATTGTAAACAATTACCGTTCAATAATATACGAGAATATTCACAGCTTTTATACAGTAACCCATCAAAATAGTCCCAGATTAACAAATCAGGCCAGCCAATGCCAGTATAACATATAAATATCTAAGTATGAAAGAAACTTCTTTTGATTTGTGTTTTAGATGCAGCTTGAAGATATTAGATTCCCTAGATTAGATTTGCTTCTGATATTTTTAATAAATTCATTGTAAAACTCGTGAATTCATTGAAATAAGCTAAAACTGAACGGACATGACGGAGAGTTTAGACATGTCACTGTCGTTAGACTTAGACTAATTATTATAACTGGAAACAGCCATCGCCATTTTGTTAACTACGTTTTTATTTAACGACATTTCTTAATTACGTAAGCTCATCTTTAATAGAATGGGGAAAACGCACTGTAAGCATAATTCATACATGATATTTTGAGAAATTAACAAGCATTTAAGCTTTAATATCTCCAACCGAAGATAACGAAATATCGGAGTTAAATATAGGATAAGATATGAAGAAATAATAACTCTTCTTTTATCGTGAATTCCATATGAGAGTTGTTATGAAATCGAAAAATTTGTGCAATTCATGAAAATATCTTTAATAACTATCAGCAAAGACAAAAGCCAGCATACTCTGTAAACAATAGACATTATTATGAATATAATTTCATATTTTTCAAAGATTATTTACACAAAGAACTGAGATTACTTATACAAAGAATATTTTTTTCTCGTCATGTTGACATGCTAGTGTCTTTCCTTTTATTATTTTATTATTTATTTATTTTCTTCTGAATATTCTAATCTCCCCTCTTCAGAAGAGTTAATTTTTCAAACTTCATCATATGTATGAATTTTTTCTCATGACGTTTTGATTTGTTCTGATTATCTACATTTCCATCGAATAGCCGCGAAGAAGTATTGATGAGGCAATTTTCCAAGTCGCCCAAAAGTATTCATGGCAACAAATGGTTTTGTGTACAAGGGAATTTTCAATTTTGAAATTCATCGGTCGTGTTTCTGATTAGTGTTTCTTTTGCTTTGAGTACATTTGTTTCTGTAGTAATTAATCGTATCTGAACTGTGTAGTAAGCCTTTTTATATTTTTATTATTTTGGAATATTTCTTTGAAGTGTAGTTGAAGTTCCAACTGTTCTTGGATGGTGGGGATGGTGTTTATGCCCGGTGCGCAATATCGAGCTTGTCTGTGATGTCAGGTTTGTATAATTCTCTGTTTTTTTAATCGAAAACATATCAATATGTAAGGAGGCGAATCAAAAAGTCTTTGCCCCTATTTTTATCAGCCAAAATAAGGTACGTACAGATTATTACAAATATACGTACTACTCTGCGTACCTTACACTATTTTTCTTCAGTTCCCACACCAGTTCAAACATTTGTCCGATCGCAGCACTAAACTTGAGGTGCCCTTGTGGTAGAATTTGTCCGGCTGACTCTAAAACCACCGTCGAACTGCTGTCTTAGCTTCACGTAAATCGCTGCCCTGCCAGGAACTTCTTCAGCAGGCAGAAAACGTGGAAATCACTCGAGGTCAGGTACGGATTGTATGGTGTGTGGTCCAGACTCTCCCAGCGAAATGACTGGAGCTTGTCGGAGGCTCTGATTGCCTCATGTGGTTTTCCATTGTCGTGGAGGATAATCACGTTATTTACATCGAGAATCCCTCGGCGCTCTCGATGATGGCAGCCCGCAGATGTGACAGAGTGGAATAATAGTTGTCAGCATTGATGATTGCACATTGTGTGAGGAATTTCAGCAGGAGCTGTCCAGTTATTTCAGAAAACCACTTTTCCTCATTGAACGGAATTTTTTTGCCATTGGAAAACATGGATGTTTCCACACCATGCTCTGCTGCTTCGATTCCATCGTGAAATCAGTATCCGCATTTCATCGCGAGTAACAATGTGGTCCAGAATATTTTCACCCTCCCCGGCGAAGTGTTGCAGATGATTCAGTGAAGCAATCATTCGCTTGCTTTTCATCGTGTCGTCTAACTGCTTAAACACCCACAGACATGAAAATGTCCGATACCCTAAAGACCAGTGAACTATGTCATAAATACTCTCATACAAAATTCCAAGTCCTGAGAAATGTATTTAATGTGCACTCGCCGATCTACTCTCAGCATTGCATCCACTCGGGAAGTGTTGTTAGTCAGCCACGAGCACGGCCTTCTCATTGTTATGTAAGTCTTCGCGGCCTTTTCCGAACTCACAACACCACCATCTTACACTTTTCAAGACGAGACACTTTTATCCATACGTGGGCTGCCTTTACCTGTGGATATCAATAGACGCTCGTCTTTTGCTGCATAAAAACGAACCACACTTTGTAGCCCGCATGCCGTTGACGTGCGAAGCACAACTGCCATCTTCAACAACTGACAGCAGCACCGTGCCGCTAAGCTAGTGGCAGATAAGGCCAGGCCAGTCCTAGAAACGTCCACCGCTGGGAATGGATATATTGACTTCACATTTACTGCAGTAATTTGGCTAAAAAGTAGGGGCAAACACTTTCTCCCCCGTATATAAAGAGAATACAAGCAATAGAGAGAAAAAAAGGAGGGACTGAAAGACTTCTAGGAAAAGGTAAGTGTTTAATTTTTTAGTGAATGTAAAAAAGTCAGGCGTCAGTGAATGCGTTGTTGAAGTAGACATAAAGACATCCCTCCACACTCACACACACAAAAAAGTTTTTCTCGAAACCCATCAACGTGTTCGTGAATGCCTTCAGAAGTCGTTGACAAGTTGGCTTTATTCTGGTTGGATAATCAGAAAATACCGATTATTTTAATGTTTTCTAGAAGAATATCATATAATACTGTAGGCTTACCCACTGTGTAATTCTAAGTTCCAGTTAAAGTGAAGAATCTTAAGCACTAGTAAGCGAATAATCTCTTGAGTTCGTGAGACAATGAATAAACTTGGAAAGGGTTAAAAGACCCTTTATTATTCAAATCAGATTTAACAGAACTCCGTCTTGGAGTTGTACAATAAAGATGACACTCGGGCTTCAACTTAAGAGACTAAGAATTAAATTAAACTAATCTTAACTAAAGAGATATAGCCGAAACTATAAAATTCTACCGGAGTTGGCCCCTTAACGCTAATTGCCTGCGAAGCTATCAAGGGCCTAAAATACCGCGGAGTGTAATAATAGCTTAAGAGAGAGTAGCCTTAAAAAGGCGGACGCGTGCTAACAAGAATCATCTGGTTTTCTTTGACTAAGACGGTAGAACTTCGTGGTTAAATAACACTCTTCCTCGATTTGCATCCAAACGTGAATTCTAAAATTACGTTCTAGCCGGAAGTGGTAAGTTGAAATTAAGAAGCGATAGGAAAGGAAATTTAACTCAAAATTTAACCGTTAATAAAATTAACATAATCCTTACAATACAAAAGAATGTACTCACTTTAATTTTTAATGCAGGCATCTCCATTTGTTCTGAGAGTTTGAAGATTTCAACAGCACTTGGGTAAGCGCATGTTTTGAAACTTCTGTCCAGTTCACTAGATTCCAGAAAAATAGGCTTTGGTTTCACCGGCTTTGTGGAAGGAGATGAAATGCCTATTTGAATTCAAGGAAATTCTGTTATGAATCGATTTGTTATGAATCGATAGCAAGAAATCAGAAAGGAGGAAATAAAATAAACGATTATGAAAGAGGTATTTAATGTATGACATTAGAAATATCTCATAAATATTATAATAATATATATTTTAACGCATTTTATGTTGTATTGGACTAGTGAGTCGAGTTGTTTTCCACATCTATAATATAACGCGATAAGGAGAACATTGGTAATACGTAGAGCTTTATATTGGCACTCTGCAAAGCGCAAAGGTTTCCAATTCAATCAATTACGTTTCCAATTCAATCAGCAAACTTGGTTATATAAAAGAAGTATGTTGCCACTTCTCGAATTAAAATATTTTTATATTCAATGGGGCTATATTCTGTCGTTCAGCAAAATTTATGACATTTTTCTCTCAAATTTATTCTGTTATTAATTAACAAACTGGGCGAATTAAAAGAAATAAACTCAGAATCATTTTAGTTATTATCAGTTATTATAAATTATTACCTAGACCCATGAGCTGGATTCATTGAAATCATCTGTATATTTATAAATAAAGAAGAGTGTCCGTTTGTTTGATTGTGCGTAATCCGTCATAAAATTTCAAAAATCCACCTCACACTCATATAGTTTCACACTAATATAGAGTTTATAAGGTATTTCTCCCACTTTCCTAACCTGTCTTCGTGGTGTAGTGGTTCTGCACGCTAGGCCGTTATTCCAGAGGTCCGTGGTTCGATTCCCAGTGAAGGCGATTGCTCATTTTTCATCTTGCCTGCTTTCCAAAAAAATCCTAATGTCTCTTCAGTGGCGCCCGAAATAAAAGGATGTTGGATGAGGTTTCTCCACACCCAGGATTTGGCGATTGGGTTCACTAAAAACCCCAGTCTCCCTTTAAAAAGGAAGGTATATAAGGTATTTTTCCCACTTTCCTAGCGTGCCTTCGTGGTGTAGTGGTTCTGCACGCTGGGCCGGTATTTCCAGAGGTCCGTGGTTCGATTCCCGGCGAAGGCGTTGCGAATTTTTTATTTTTCCTGCTTCCAAAAAAATCCTAATGTCTCTACACGTTTATATCAGAACGTTGCGCTCTCATCAAACCCCTTAAGTTCACGTGGTCATTGTTGCGTTCCCGCTATCAGTAGATGTCATTCGTGCCAAGCAAGGAATTTATATATTATATTTTACAAAAAATAAATAATACTATTTCTGTGCAATTTCAGTTTTAAAAATATCAGGTCACCCATCTTTGGTTCACGTCCTCATTGTTGTGTTCCAGCTACCAGTTCTTACAAAAAGCTGTTAGATTGTGCCATGTTTATTTACTCTTCAGAACAGTGCAGAACTACAATACAAGGTAGACTCTTTAAGGCAAAATTTAAGTGTTCTCTCTCTCGCTTTCAGTTTTTCAAATATTTCAAAAATGGGAAAGAACCCAAAGCGGATGGTGAATAAAAAAAATCACTAAAAGGTAAGAACCAGCTCCTACTAAAGCAGTTTCATGATACCATATTAGTTCTACACTGTTCTAAAGTTTTATTCAAGCCTGCTAATATTTTGCATAAATTACCTTGAACAGAAATACGATGAAAATCACTGTGTACTTGAGATTTCAAAAACACGACCCTCATTCCTCTAAATTTAGTCTCCTTTTAAGTCTCTGCATAAAGCCAGGACAAGTTGCATACGTCTGTTTGGTGTGAACCTCAAAATTTATTCAAAAGTTTTGCGACAACAAATGTTTATTACAAAACAGGATTCTCTTCTTTTAAATAAATTCTCTGAAAACTTTACGATTAACTTGCATTTCTCCTTTTTATTTATTACTTTATTTTATATATCGTATGTTCATTGATGGTGAACATATCATAGAAAAACTTATACCATTTTATTCTTATGGTAATCTACTAAAAGCTAACATATATGATATGAAAAAGCGAACACTGTAAACTTAAATATATTTGTAAGCAGTTACTTAAATTTGTATATTTGTAACAAGTAGATAAAATTTTTATGTATTAAGTTAGTAAATTTAACTAAGTGCTTTATGTGACTGCTATTTTTAACAGCATATCGGTCTTATTTCATAAAAGCACATTTTAATATTAGTATATTTTATGTTGAGCAAGTTATTATGTTAGATAACTGCTAACAGAAGCTGTAAGGTACTTTCTCTCTCCTTTCCGCTTGCCTTCGTGGTGTAATTGGAAGCATACCCGAAGCGTATTCGAGAGGTCCAGGGTTCGAATCTCGACGAGGGCATTGCCCATTTTTCACATGTTCTGTTTCAAAACACCTAATGACTCGACGAGTGAGCTCTGAACTAAGAAGTGGTGGTTCATCACCACCAGGATTTGACAGTTGGCTCTCCTCATCCCCAGTCGCCCTTTAAATGAGGGAGTATATAAGGTATTTTCTTTTTGGACACCCGTACTCCTCCACGCGAATATATATGAGACTGGCAAAGTATGAAATCCAGCAGTCTGTAGAATACATAGCCATTTTATAGAATGCCGAAAACTGACGGCAATGTGTGAAACGATAAAACATTTCACTCATTGCCTAGGCATTCTACATCTACAGAATGCCAAGTGAAAAACCGGCAAAGTATGAAATAATCTCAGATTCGTGTCGAATAACTGAAACTACTTACCAAAAGTTAACAAATGATCTAAAATAGCCAAAATGACTACTAAGAAGGAACCACGAGACTATTGGTTGCTGAATCGCTAGGATGTGATGTTTGTGGATAACAAAAGTAAATTCATTTATCCTGTGAAAGAAGGCGTCAGTACAATACAGTATTACGTCACGGACACTCAGTTACTTCACGTATTTCATGAAACTCATTTGGCTACAGAACTCGAAGAACGCGACAGAATGTTTGAATCAATTTTCAGCCAAATACAAAAACGTTACACGGAATGATATTGAGCTGTACATCCACCTTCATGAGCCCTCCAGAAAAAAAAAAAAAAAAAAAAAAGGAACCAAAAATTACTTTTTGTGAAACGTATGATATTTTCTGAATTTAATTTCCGCTGTCAGGTAGATCTTATTAATTTCCAATCTCAGCCAGATACAAAAACACAAATTTATTATGGTGTACCAAGATCATTTCACTAATTATTTTTTTACGTTGTAGAGACATTCGGTTATTTTCGAAGCAAGAGAGATGAAAAATCAGCATCGCTTTCGCCAGAAATCGAACCACGGACCTCTGGAATATGCGCCCAGAGTGCAGACCACCACACCCCGAAGGCATGCCAAGAAGGCGGGAGAAATACCTTATATACTTCCCCTTTTAAAGGGCCACTAGGGTTTTAGGGAAGCCAATCGCCAAGTCCTGGGTGGGGAGAATCCTCATCCAACACCCGGGCGTCACTGTAGAGACATTAGGTTATTTCGGAAGCAAGACAGATGAAAAATGAGCCTTGCCTTCGCCGGGAATCAAACCACGGACCTCTGAATTCGTGCCCAGCGTGCAGACCACCACACCACGAAGGCATACCAAAATACCTTATAATGTATTTTTTAATAACATTTTTTAATGTGTCTTTCATTACTTTTTTTCCAAAATAAACTTTCTGCTTGTGAAGAATGAAAGCCTTTTAAACTATAGGCTAAAACTTATCATCACTTTTTTTATACTTTGCCTAAAGAATATTTGTCATTCTAATAAAATGCCTAGGTATTATATATAATGTCTAGGTAACGTGTGTAATAATTCTCTTATTTCAAACTTTGCCTAAAAACGCTAGGTATTCTATAGAATACCTGCGTTTCATACATTGCCGGTAACATATATACCTCGAACACTGAATACTGAACTTCGAATTTGATTTTTATTCGTTTTCTGTTTTGTACGAACTTGATTATCACATTCAACAGTTTAAGATCAATATGTTTACACCTTCAAAGCGTAAGATATTTGCTCTCCAGATTTAATCATAAAACTTAAGTGACTTAAAGAAATGTGTTACCACTCGGCAAAGCGACAACATTTGAAAAGAAATGTATTGCAATTATCCGAAATAAAATACTTTTATCTTATATTCAGTGGGTTTCCACTGGACTAAATACTTAATTTTTCTTTCAGATTGCATCTAACTGTATTGATTAACATACTAAGCTATTTAAAATTAATATATAGACACATAGAGACATAGAGAAAATTTCGTGGTATAAAAGGAGTTCCAATCGTATCATATCTTACCTTTCTTTTGTTTGCTTGCTGCCAAGAATCTTCGACCTCGAACGATGCTCCTCTTCAACCCCTGTTCATTTAATGGTGATGCCGATCTCATTTTGAGTAGTTGTCATCAACAGCACTCCAAGTGTAGAATTGCTCACATCCAAAATACAGAAACATGCAGTACGACTTGTTCTAGATAGAAACTCTAGTTTATGCGTTCGAATCTTGTTCATCGTATGAAGGGTGAACAGTATAAAAGATCGTCTCGCTGGATGATCATCCTTTATACCTTCCTTGTTATCTTTCTCTTAAAGAGACACGTATAAACTGGATGGATAATCGATCAATGCCCATTGTTATTACGCAAATAGGGCAGACGTCGACTGTGAGATAAAATTAACCTCAATATGATAACACAGCAGAATGGCTTTTAATGATGAAAGCTTTCAAAACTTGGATATTGTAAGATACTTATCCATTAAAGGTAAAGCTCACAAAATGAAAACAAAGGAAAAGGAGATCTGAAATAGGATATGAAATATCAAATCGTGTTTTCTTTAGGTTATGGTATCGCAAAAACAGAGTGACAATTTCAAAATAAAAAAAATAAAAAAAAAAAAAAAAAAACCTTTTGATTTTATGACAGGATTAAAAGTATTTATGACAAGATTTTAGTGTTTCAAATTATTTCATGAAGTTAATTACTGAATTATAAGAGTAACGAAATTTCACTAATTGGATCCATTAATATGGGGTGAAGAAATTAGATTTGTATTACCGAATATAGGTTTTCCTAAATTTGCCTTGAACATGTCACCAAAAAAATGTATTAATACACAGCGCAGAAATCAAATTTGTAACTGTTTAATTTTTCGAAATTCGCTTTGAACATATCATTAAGTAGGCATTTTGAAAACGCGATCTAGAAATCAAGTTACTCGTATAACTTCGAATACGGGTTTTCTACAATTGCTTTGAACATATCACCGAACAGACCGTTTAAAGACGCAATCCTGTAATCAAATTTATAACTTCGAATACAGGTTTTCTAAATCGCTTTAAACATATCACCAAACAGATTGTTTAAAAACGTAATCCAGAAATCAAATTTATAACTTAAAATATAGGTTTTCTAAATTCGCCTTATTTAAGATACTTTTAAACAGATAATAAATATCTATTATATGTAAAGAAAAAAAAGGACGTAAAACCATAATGAAAACTGATTCATATATGGACATGAATGGAGGTCGAATACAAATATACATTATGATCGTAAAAAAATTTAGTGATCTTTTTTTAAACAGATAAACTCCCCTTGCATCACAAATATATAACATGGTGCTTGCCAAATTAATGCTGCTTGCTAATTAAACATTACAAACATTAATAAAACAAGCAAAAACAGAGAAGTTCATTGGCCAAGTCACGCCTAAGCTTTCTTAAATGACGCTTTAAACATACGTCAGAACCATTGAAAGTGTAACAGGAGAAAGTTAAATCTGCCGCAAGGTAGGTTAGATCTGATTTTAGATTGAAATGAAACTGATAATTTACAAATTTACGACAGACAAATAACTGAGATGCTTTAAAATTCGTAAACCTCGGAATGGTTAACAAAGGAACAGAATTGTTTGGTGTCTCCTAACATTACATGATGGAGAGCATTTTTCGTTCTATTCAGATGAAAACTGTTATCTTAAAAGGATTTCCAATAGTACTTTGGAGTACTAATATTGATGTCAATTGGTAAATATAAAGTATCTTGAGAAATCAACTCTTTCATATCCATAAATGCCGTGGTCATCGTGTGTACATGAGCAAACCAAATCAGTTCCCCAGTCTAAGTAAAGTGACAATGAAAACAATTTCTTTTACCAGTTTGTCTCCTGTTCAAAAGATCAAGAGAAGAATGAGAATCAGAACAAATAATGTACCTCAAAATACAGTCCCATTATTCTTGATCTTTTCGACAGCATGATAAATACAGAAAAGTTCTCCTTGAAAATGGGACTTGAAATAGAAAACCTCAGATTTGTCTTCAAAGGGGAAAAAATTCCCCCTTTGAACCTTATTATTAATTTTATTGCTATCTGCAAACTATACAATATAAAAATATTTTTCACTAATCTCATCAAAATCACAGAATTTTACATGTTCTCTAAGCAGCACTTTTTCTTAACTCTTTTCGTTTGGTGGCTAGTTTCAAGAAAGGAAAGAACAATTTTCTTAAAAGCTTTTACAAATTTTCGCTTCTGTTCTGTGCCAAATAATCAGTTGATTTATTTCCAGCAATTACAGAACGTGAATGAATCCATTAGAGGAACAAAACAAAAGATTTCAAGGAATATTTTGGCACTGCTAAATGAGGAACATTTAGCGTACTCTGTTGAATAGAGATAGTAAAGAATCAAATAAGACAACGAATTAGATTACAATAAGATATTTTACAAATTGACGGCTGACTGAAGATAAATATTAATGGTATTCAAAATTTATGGCAGTGTTACCCCATAAAAATATAAACGATCTCAAAAAATAATTTTGCGATCCTAGTCAGAGAGTCGATCGTCGACTTTCAATTCTGACCTTCAATTCTGATTTTCTTAGGCCTTTTTATAAATCACGGATCCCACTACAAATATTCGCGACCGCACCTGGATTTCAATTTGAAGAAAACTGGGAATTAGTTTGAATACAACTGATATGGATAAATTCGAACTTTGAGAAAAATGGGTAGAATGTGTACAAACTTAGACATTAACATAACGAAATAAAATAAATAAATAATAAATAAATAAAAATAAAAAAAAATAAAAAATAAAAAAAAAGATGTCATATTAAAAAAAATTGAGCTCCTGGGCCATTTTCATTCGCTAAATATGGTTGCATCCATGTTTAGAGATGAAGTCACTCATATCTGGGCCCACTGAACTAAAAACACTTTATCTGCTATTTTAAGTTTAAGAAAAATACACAGACATAATTATTTACACTGAAATTAGTCCCCAATTTTCATTTTACTAGATAATAGGGTAAAATCTTATAAGGTATTTCTCCCACTTTCCTAGCGTACTTCCTGGTGTAGTGGTTCTGCACGCTGGGCCGGTATTCCAGAGGTCCGTGGTTCGATTCCCGGGGAAGGCGTTGTTAACTTTTCATCTTGGCTGCTTCGAAAAATATACCTTATGTCTCTACAGTGGCGCCCGAAATAAAAAGGGTTGTAGATGATGATTCTCCACACCCAGGATTTGGCGACTAGGTCCCCTAAAACCCTAGTCACCCTTTAAAAAGGGGAGTATATAAGGTATTTCTCCCACTTTCCTAGCGTCCTTCATGGTGTAGTGGTTCTGCACGCTGGGCCGGTATTCCAGAGGTCTGTGGTTCGATTCCCGGCGAAGGCGTTGTTAATTTTTCATCTTGGCTGCTTCCAAAAATATACCTAATGTATCTACAATCTTACCTTCTTAGCATGCCTTTTTAATGGTGACAAGGATGTTTAGGAATAAATTATAGAGACATTAGGTTATTTGGAAGCAGGAGAGATTAGAAATTATCAGTGCCCTCACCGGGACTCGAACCACGGACGTCTCGAATACGCGTCGAGCGTGCTGACCAATACAGCACGAAGGCATGCTAAGAAGGCGGGAGAAGTACGTTATAAAATAATTGCTCAATGATTAAAAAGTATGTAAGTAGCAGCAGGCAATCTGATCATAAAATAATTACTTGGTAAATTTATTCCTAACTTAAAACTATTATTAGCGCACAATTAAGGGAAAAAAACCTCTGTATTAAAATTCTATGATAATAAGGACTTAGCTCTTTCAGTAGATGTAAGTACTAAAGGGTTAGGTGCTGTTTTACTACAAGAAAATTAACCGATTTCTTATGCTTTCAAAGCTCTAACGAAGAGTCAGAAAAATTATTCTCAGACAGAAAAAGAACTTTTAACATTACTTTCGGATGTTCTGAATTTCATCAATACATACGGAGCCGGAGCCCACAGGAGCCTGGCTCCGGTACTTCTTAGTTTCTGAGGTAAATCGTGATACTAACCGGAGCACAACGAAGCCCTAAAAGGAATCCAGTACTCCTTTTATGTAAGTAAAACAGAGTTTCGACAGAAAAATTTTATTTTAAGAATAAATATACATCTAAAATCGACTATAACTTCCGAATTCATGCGTGTCTTTCTCTGGGGAACAAAAACTTTGAAGGAGGTTAAGACTTTTAAGGAAGAAAAAGCCCCCATTCACATGTCAATGGCCCATTCTCCAGATAGTGCAATAATTATGAAAGCTTGTATAATGTTTTGTTCTCGAATGTATTAACAATGATTACCTTTGTCGTCCACGTCCAATGCTAGTTCCCTCTCACTGCAGTGCTCCTGCAGATTTGAACTATGCAGCCAAATACGGAAGGGGGGCAAAAATTGTCACTTATGCAGGTCTTACATTTGTTCACATGTGGCTCGGATTCGGGGGAATTTTTTTTACTCGGTCGCATTCTGTTTGACAGCTAGAATTATACTGGCGGGGCGTCGCGGTCAGAGAGGGTTGGATTCTTCTGTCTTTGTTTTCGAAGCTACAGTTTTCCATAAACATTTCTTTCCTTATTCATGTATTGTGTCTAGCATTCTCTCTAAATTTACTGGTAGTTCGGTTCGAGGTTCGAATCTTGGGAACGGGCTGACTGCATGGATGTTTTCGTGGTTTTCCCCATGGGTAACGTGTATACGAGCCAATTTTCCCTTAGAAAGTCCTCCACGAAGGCATCCCCTCCCCTTAGGCAGATAGCTCTAGTGTGCTTTGCCGTAATTAAATACACCACCACACCACAACACCTCTCTATTTTTATTAGTGACGCTTTAATCGTTTTACTTTTTTTCACTGCCGTGCTGGAAAAAGAAGTTTCCACTCCCCACTGAAATCGTACGTTGTACTGTATATTTAGAGACTAAATTCAGCCGGAAGCCGGCTGAGCTATTTCTTAGTTTTTTGTTTGAAATTGTAAATCCAATCGAAGCCCCAAATAAGGCGAGGTTCGATATATTTTATTTCTTTTATTTAACTAGTTATAATTAATTTAATAATTTATTAATTGTTTTATATTTTTATATTTATTGAATTTTAATTTAAATTTAACTAATTAATTAAACTAATTAAATAAGTGTAAATTATTATTTATTTTATTTATTTATTTATTTTCCTTCCTGGCGGCCTTCGACAGGGCTTCGGCACTTCTGAGTTTAAAAA